CTCGTAGACTGTCGGTCTATTGGGCTATGGGTCTAGTGAATATTGTGTCAGTGTTGATATTGTGGGCTGTGGGTCTACCGGGATAACCCCTGGTCATTTATTAGACAGTGGCGCAGCAACCAGTACTAAGTTGGTGATGGAATGATAAAGGTATTGGATATAATAATATAATTATTGAGGGAATTCTGAAACGTAATGTTAATTTTTATTTTATAACAACCATATCAAATATATTTTAGGTCAAACGGCTAAAGGGTTTGGTCGTCCCCAATATGTAACGAATCGAGCTGACGCTATATACGATTAAGAGAAAAGAGGGGGAAATATATAAGTCTGAAGAGTAAAACAAAAGGTATTTTCCATTTAACTCACAAAATTGCATTCAACATGATAATTGACAATTAACTGAAATACAAGTGCTTTGATGTATCGGTAAAGGAAGAAAGTCTATTGAGCGAAATATATATTAATGTCCATAACTTGTTTCACTGATTAAATATGTATATTCTGTCGAGGGAGATATATTGTGTTCGATTGTAAATACTTCTACATCGTAATATAGTTAGTAATGATGATAAATGATACTCAAAATTGCTTGTCATGATAAAAAGGTAAACACATAGAAATTCTTCAAAACAATCATTTATATTTTATGGATTGTTGTTATACTATATGCATCAGATTATGTGGATAATGCGACATTATGTCATCCGTCTTTAATGAGCAGACTCGTGCAAATTATGTTAGTTCGAAGAAATTAAAAAGACGAAAACATAGCTCTGCTCCATCTTGCAAGACTCTACAAATGTACTATGTAAGGGTCAAACGAATTTCATGTGATGTATTATGATGAAAATAGTATGAAAAGCATTATCAGATTTTGTTTTGATATTTTCTCATTGTCTCCCTTGATTTGCATGTAGCATTCGTATTTAATAATGTTAAGATTAGCCCTTTCGATACGATCTTAAGATTGTTGTTTAGCATTTATAAACTGAAGAGAGATACGTTGCATACATATTTTAAAATGGTGTTGTAAATATCTTAATATAGTGTTTGTTTTAATGAAAGCACATTATATGCATGTACATCAATATGGAACGATATTCAGTTAGTTTAAAGGTACTATGTCCCATTTGCAGGCCAAAAAAATGAAAAAGTTAAATTCCAACTGCATTTAAAAGATAATACTAATTTAGAACTTCCCTAAAAAAAGGTGGGGCTTGAAAATGTCTTCAAGTGGGAAAATAACGACTATAAGTTGTCAAATCGACTTTAGGACTATAGAGCCCAAAAGTAATAGTCTTGATTTTCAGACAATTGTACCGAATGGTCATACGTTTTATGCTGCGGAAGATTCAATCAGTTTAATCTTGGTCATCACAAGAAGTGGGTTATTGATGTAGACAAATGCTCATGTACCCTTTACAACTCTTTTCATGTATGTTTATTACCAAAGAAGAAAAAAAGCCAGTCAGTCACTCAATAGTGTCTGACAGTGAAGTCTAGCAAGAAAACGGGTTTCCTTGCATAATTTGAATATGAGGACACTGCTAATGTTTAAATTTCACAGATAGGACATACATGACATATTCATAATTCCTGCAAAGTTCTACAGCATTTGAGGTTGTCTGCAAAAGGGACATAGTACCTTTAAGGTAAAAGACATTTGTATACGCAAGTTGGAAATCAATTGCATTGACTAGAGGATTAGTAAGATTATAATTCTAATCAAGAGTATCAGACCTTGTTATTGTTTAAATCAACGTATAGCGGTTGACTGACATAAATAGACAGCAATCTCATTATTATGAACACGGTCTGTTTTATGTTTTGCTTCGTGCCAGTATTGTAAATTGTTATGGTAATATTGGTCATGACGGGATTTTTGTTTGTAATTAAGCGAATAAATAGAATTCAAATTATTTAGTAAATACTTTATGTGTCAGGTCTATTTTCATTTTAAGTAATCCACTTCTTAAAGGGATTTGGTAACATTGTTCAGATGAGAGTAAATAGTGCTAAGGTATAGTGCCTTCCATGCTAGAAGTACATACAAATAGAAATAATCTGAAAGTTTTAGTGAAAGCAGACCATTATTAATGTTAAAAAAATGGGAAAAACTTATCTGATCGATTCCTTAATTCTCCCAACTATATTATTACAATTCAATTACATATTAGGCGAATGCAAATCGTCACAAAGCAATTAATTGGCTTTATATACCATTCCAGACATTAAAGAGTTCAACGATTTTTCAAAGCCTGTCTTATGTCTTTTTTTCTGGAAAAATGATTGGGAAAATTCAAAAATGGTTGGGAGAATTTACTATTATAGGGTGTCGCACAGTGACACCAAAGAAAACCATACAAATCTTTGTGGTTTGAGATTTTTTTCAGGATTTGTTGCATGTTAGAGGGTTAGTACAGTATATAGAAAGAATATAATAAGTAACATTTTATACAAAAATTACGCAGTTTTTTAATCAACCTTTAACAATATCACTTTAATGCAAAACAGTAACCAGTAACATGATGTAGGCCAATTATGTTAAATGTTCATACTAGTGGATTCCTATAGGGAATTTGACAACACTCCAGTGTTTACCCAATAAAAGGTGCTGTCAATCACCAAGAGTGGTCTTTGATAACTTTATAACCTGCATATACGAAAGTGCGATAGGAATTACCATCTAGTTGTTGACAATGTAGGATAAATCAAATTGCATAATTATGAGTTCGTTCATAACGCCATCATCGGCAGCTTGGATCAAGTGTGTATAGCGAATATAGAGAACCGGCCAGATTCTGGACTATTTAATCACATCATCATAAAAATGTTATCCCAACACTGTGGAAGCGTTCCAAATTAACACTGTGCTTATACTCTTGAGTCTTGAGCATAATAACTTTAATAGTTGATTAGTCCAAACAATCTATTTTTTGCCACACTTTAATTATGAGGGCATACAAGAGCAATCCTTTTCAGAGGACATTTCTTCCAAAGTGACATAAAACGAATGAGAAACTCACAACTTATTTTAGCTTCACCGGAACAGAACCTGTTTTGTAAATTAAGACTTTTAAAAATATCATTATTGCTCTTTGACGTAGTCACGAGGCGATGTGACGTATTTTATTTGTTTTATTCTCCTCTTAACCAAACTAAATTCAATGACGTCTCCGTGTTATACGCCCAACAGCTTCGATTGTACGTCAGTGAATGAAGTTATGGGATCGTCATCGTTTGTATACATGTTTATTCCCTTCATGACGTATGTATTGTAACCAAAGTTCAGAACCTTTGTGAAAAATCATGAATCAATTTTGAACATGCTGAATAACTGTCATAACAATAAGTTTGACTGAAATGAGTAGAATTTAGACTCCATGAAAACCCCCGCACGTATCATCAGATGAAGAAGTTTCAAAATGCTGCACCTCATGTTCTATAATATGAAGTTATATTTTGATATCTATAAAATGAAAAGATATCTAGTAATTTTAAACATTTTTTCAAGAAGATAATGCCGTAATAAACCCCAATAGGGGTCGATAGAGTTGATAAATACTAAACCCCTCAACAAGTTTGGAAACTCAAGTCGGATCGATTATAGCGCTGATAATCATGTCTTTGATTAGTATCACTATAGAAAATGTTTTATTTCCTCTTAAAATGATACCATATTTGTTATGAGGTATGTTTGCTTGTTTGTTTGTATGTACGATTAGTTTCCGTAGTCAATGATATTTTCTTTTTAGGATGGCTAGAAATCAAACGTTCCTGAACTTGAAGAGAAACATAATACGTGTATTATATTACAGAGAGAGAGAGAGAGAGAGGGGGAGAGAGGGAGAGGGGGAGGGAGAGACAGAGTGTATGTGTGAGAAAGAGAGAGACAGGGAGATAGAGAGAGAGAGAGAGAGAGAGAGGGAGGGAGAGGGAGAGAGAGAGAGAGAGAGAGTGTGTGTGTGTGTGAGAGAGAGAGAGAGAGAGAGAGAGAGAGAGACTGGGAAAGAGAGAGTGTGTGAGAAAGAGGGAGAGACAGGGAGAGAGAATAGAGTGTGGTAGAGAGAGAGCGAGAGAGAGAGAGAGAGAGACAGGGAGAGAGAGAGAGAGAGGGAGAGAGAGAGAGAGAGGGAGAGAGAACGAGAAAAAGATCATCACAAGAGAATGTCTCGATCATTATATCATCATCATCATATTTTACCACCACCGTCACCATCATCTCCATGCTCACCATCACCCTCGATCACCACCGTCTTCATGATGATGATAATAATAATAATAATATTTAATTTTTATATAGCGCTTAATACAAATGTCTCTAAGCGCTTTACAAATATATACTATTGCCCCGGTCATTGGATTCAATGATGATGATGATGATGATCCACATCACTTTTATGGCGCCATTTATCTGTTTCAAACATTCAAAGCAGCTCGCCCCTCCAATAGTAATGTACTACACATTTACTTGAGAACCAAAACAAAAAAGGAGGGTTTTAAAGCTTTCTAGCTTGTCGGTCTCGCGAAGATTAGGCAGGAAGGGAGATAAAAAGGCGTGGATCACCAAGAAAAGGCACGCGACATCATCATCATCATCTTGATCACCACCACCACTATCACCACCACCATCATCATCATCATCATCATCATCATCATCATCATCATCAAAACTTCATTTGCCATCACTAGCTTGTGTCTGAACATTAAACATAAATAAAAAAAAACAACAACTTGTGTCTGAACATTTGCCTTATTATTTATGACCCTTATAGAACTAGCTGAGAAAGATAATAAAAAGAGAATGTCTGTTTACATATTAAATAGAGATTTGTCACAGTTTCTATGTGCTTTAACGTATTCCTTAACTTGGAAAAGAAAAGGAGACAAAACATTTTCTTTTTCTGGCTATATTGTTGAAGTTGGAAGCGAACAGCTGATAATAGCATTACGTCATAAACTTCCTGCATAGCGCATTGCAGTGCACGTATACGACAGCGCTTCACATCATTCGGATTCGGTGGCTCTTTGTGTACGGTACGTTCTGTTGGTACGTGGAAGAAATAACAGGACTAACTGCTTAAAGTTTGCTAACTTATCGAAATTCATAGCTTTCCACAATGGCAGGGACGAATGGAGGAATAGCCAAATGTGGCTTCATTTTCCTGGATACACTAGCGATAGCACTAGGTAAGAAAACAGCAAAATAGTTGTTAAATTTGTTTCAAGTTGGGGCACCGAAAATTGACGTGCAGGTTACCCGTGTGCAGCCGCAGGGTCATACCACAGCGGCCGCTGAATGCAGCTGTTGTAACCGTGTGATGGTGTGCAGCATGCAGCGCGGTGCCGGTGGAAATGTAAACTGATTTTAATTGCTACCCAAATATGCATGATGACTATTTTATGGGCCATTGTGAGTCAGGGTGTGTTATATGATACACGTTAAAGGATGTTGCTGAATATTTATTAAATCCTGATGCCTTGGAATTATTGTCTGCCTCATTGAACCTGTCTGATCCTGAATGACATGATATTTGTATTGTTGGACAGGCACTTCTTGGTGGGAGGGAGGGAGGGGAGGTGAGGGGGGGGGGGGGGAGGGTGGGAGGTGATGCAAACATTCCTCCCTATTTCCTTTCATTCTCTTCTAGTTTTAGGCAGATTTAGATGAATGTAAAATGATTAAAATACCATTTATTGTTATTAATTATAATTGTAAATTATTATTACGGTTATCATTGCTGTTGATGTTGTTGTCGTTGTTAGTATAGTTGAAGTAGTAGTAGTAGTAGTGATAATAATAGTACTAATAATAGTTCTAGCAGGAGTAGTGGACAAAGTAATAGTATCGCAATTAGTTTGATGTTATTGTTGATTTCATCAATTCATCATTAAAAGGGGTACAAATGTGGTAAAAGTAATTAAAAGGATTCAATACTATCCAAGTTTTCCTTGTTACACTTAAATAGCAATGAAGTAAAAAGAGGGATAGACTGGGACTGAAATTTGGTTAGAGACGTTTGCTGCAATCAGCCCTCACATTGCAAATTAACTGGCTGTTAGGCCGAAATATCATGCATTCTGTAAAAGCCTCCCCAAACTCCTTGTTGGACAGTCCAGTGGGGCCAGCCCTGAGTCAAATCATTTGTAGTGTAAACTAATAAAATAATCTTTTGCCAATCAATCACTGAATTAAACACCAATCTTACAAATCACTGCCAAAACTCACAAGTCCTCTCTCCTAAGTCTCTACTATCTCATGCCAACAGAGCTCTAAAATAACACCTCCAGTAAGTCCAGTCCAGCTCTGCTTCAGTTTTATTATCTCAGGCTGTACATGTGCTTCATGCAGATTATATTCAAATATAGCAAAATAGGATTTAAGAATATTCATAAGAAAAAAGAGAAGAGAACCATTGATAAGTAAGAAGTGGAAATATGCAAATGAGAAGAGAACATACATGTACCACCTGTTCTAGCTTGAAGAGTTGGTATGTGGTGGAGATGAATGGATGAAATGACTATGCAAATGAGGTGAAATGAATATGTATGGGGTAGAAGAGACTAGAGAAACAAATAGTAATTGTGACAAATAAAATTAGGGAATGAGTCTCATTTTATCTCTTACAGTACATTTTTTACAATCTCAATGATGTACAGTAGTACACTGTAGGAATACTAGGAATACAATGAATGACAATATAAATGAATGCACTGCTTTATAATAGGTAATACAATGTACTCCACAGGTTAGGTAATGACTAATGAATAAAGGTTACTTATAGGAATGATTTCATTACAATCCGTCTTCATGGAGAAGTGTTACTTACAGTACTAGAGAATAATGAATAACTGTGAATGAGTGTACTGCATATATTGACTGTGTGAGACTGAGATGCAAGATTAATCAGGAAGTTGAGTGAATGATGGGTGCGCTATATTCCGCCCTCACCCCTATACACATATTCTTCCTGATTACCAGAGCATACATGTACGTAACTCAACATACAACAATGAATGCCTGGCAAAATGTGTGCCGGCTCCACACAAATTTTAGACAAATTTGTCAACATTTTAATTTAAAAAATGCAGATTTATCACTTCATAAATTTGACTGTGTAGAGGCTGAAATAAGTTGTTACTGTTGAGTGTTGAGTCCACTAGATGAAGTTAAAGAAGTGTCAAACATAGGAAAAAAGGGATTTCTAGAAATGTACATCCAGTACATCCATTCATAGTCATACCCTACAGTCAGACACACAATCAAATTTACTGGACACACATTGCAATGTACATAATTTGCAATATGTCTTTGTTGGTTTTTCATCAACTAGCTAGCGGCATTATTGGTGACGGGTCTGGGAGTCTGGGACAAAGTCAAATATTTTCTTTTCATATTGGACTTGGTTTTAGTATACATACCCTGTAGAAGACTGATAGGGGTTGGGGGAGAGTGTCCCAAACTTATCAACTTGATCAAGTCATCTATAATCATAAGGTCTTCTCATTATTACAAGAGTATAACTGTACACTGTACACTGTATGAGCACATGCAAATATTTGATTTTAAGAATGGTAATTGTTACTTCGTTTTTAGAGACCATGTGTTATTAGAACTTGACTATGGTGGGGACATTATATCTATCTCCATACATATATGTAATCAGCATTTGCAAACCATCATGGCCATTAGATTTAAGATGTTTAATTAAAAATTTGAATAATTAAAACATATTGGATCATTTGTCAGTGTGATTGATAGGAGAATGCAAGATAAATGTATGTAAAATTATATGATGCAGACTATTTTGTTAAATAGCTACTTTAATGAATAATAATATTAATTTGTATTGCTATTAATTGGTGTTATTAAAAGTCTAAGTGTGATAGATCCAGATACCTCCCCCTTACTTTGTGGATAAATGCAAATTATTTAATTCCAATCTGACTCACCAAATGCTTTGGTTTGATTAATTACTGATTCTATTACCTTAATTATAAAATTAAAATCATTGAGACAAATGCTCACTTTATTAAATTACAAAACGCCCATTTTCGTTGATCAGTGGAAATTGAATAAACAAATTAATTCATGACACACTGCTGCTGAATGACATGGTGTCTGAGTCTCGCTATAAATAATCAACTAGTGATTTGGCTGATCCTAGCGGAGGAGATAGTACTTTTACTGGGGATGATAGTGCATGTTATGATGACTCATTTTGCAGGGATAATTGGCTATTCCTATCGTACTGGTGGGCTTATCTTCTTTGTCTGGGGTAATTGGGATCAGGATTCCTTATTTTGTCAATTTTTGTGTCTCAAAAATACATGTACATGTACATGTACCCTTTTAGACCAGCATGTTATACAAATGAATACACAATACACTTATTTTTCCCTCTCAGATTGAAAAATTGCATAGATGTAGCTTTTGATTCAAGTTCTTATTTTAATACCTGTACTCCTGTAGGCTGATAGAAAAAAATCTTTTACTGATTACAATTCATTTCATTATTCTCTATTCCCATTGACATTCAACTGAGTACGTATACAACTATCTCTTGCTTGAAAGTAAACTCTTCCATTCACCAATCATGGATAGTTTTCTTGCCTCACTTGAGAGTTGATAGTAATAACATCATCTCCCTTTTTATAGTCATACATATCCATTATTCAACTAAAGTACTATAGAAATATGAACCACATTTGCAGGGTAAATAATATAGGATGCATAGAGAATCTCTTACTTGAAGCTGCTGCTACATGTATTTTCATAAAAGTCAGAGTCAAAACTTGGGTTTTCAACGTCAACATTATTTTGTGGAAAGATATTTTAGAGTCTGAATTCATTTCTATATTGAGTCAAAATGTGCCTATAGCATACTGTGAAAAACAAACAGTGAGAGCGCAAACATTTTCTAACTTGACACAGCATCTAGAATGAACTGAACTGCCATCTAATATTGATGGAGGAAATACAAACCTATATGGCTGGGTTAATTATTTCTTGGACTTTGAACCTGAGAAAGTTAAGAGGAGATGGGGCTAAAATTTTACAGGATGCTTAAAGTAAATGCTTCTTAGCAAGCAGCATCTGCTCAGCAAAGTATGATGGGGGTATGCCTCTCCTTAAAGGTAAAGATCAGTTTTGGAAACGCCCCCTCTCAAAAAATGAAATGGAAGCTCTTATTACCAATCATGTGAAAGAATACCGGTATATGTTTTTACTAATTATACGTGATACAAATTTTGCCGAGAAACCGCCTACTAAAAGCTATATTTGGTAAATTATTATATCTATTTGGACCTGATAGATATCGCGCATGTGTCGCGCACGTGTCGCGTAATCCCATCTTTCTGTGTTCAGTACTTGTAACTTTACCAAGAATGGGCCAAATTTCTTATCATTTTGATGATTCCAGAACCTTGCAGTACACACCAATACTTATATGCTAGATGATCAACCTTTTCTGATCGATTCCACAATGTTGCTTTTACAATTCAATCGCATGACCATAACTGGTCTTTATCTTTAAGAATATCTGATTCTTGACCCTAGGCTATGCATTGTCATTGAGTGGAAGGGCGGAGCTAGCCTGGTATTATTATGAAATGGACCTGGGGCAATGAGATTCTGGTTGATTCAATCTGATTGCATTTGAGGAGGGTTGCTAACTCATGCTAATATTTGGACTATTAGGCAAAATGGATTTTGGTAGTGACCATGTACATGTACATGTATGCAATTGTTTAAAGGAGAAGTTGTCCAATTGATTCAATCTTAAACTTAACCCAACTCTGTTTTTCATCGCCCCACTATGCAATCATTCATTCCCCATATAATATTTGGAGGAAATTGAGGACAAACCAACATACTGAAATGGAATTCACGCACAGAACCAGAAAAGGAGAGTTGCAGATAAATGCACTCTTGAATTAATGATGAGAACAGGATCTTTATAGAGTGATTGATGCTACATGTAAAATGTCAAGAGTCAAGCCACAAGAAGGAACAGCTTCAAATGATTACAGTACATATGTATGTGACGTCTACATCATAATGTATCCTCTGCTGAAAATCGACAACAATCATATTTTTCTTTCATTGCTGGGCAGGTCCAAGCTATTGTCCCCTCTGGGGGTCAAATTTCATCTTTATATATATTTAACAAACTATACCTCATTTT